AAAATTAAAAGATTACAAAACTTTCCTGTGAGAGTATCACTTGGTAACATAAATAACTATGACCACATTACCCCATACATAAACAAAGTAGGCTAGAAGTACAAAACAAGTGCAACTATAATACTTGCATAATAATTCACAAAAATAATTCACGGTTTTTATCCAAAGTGGTTATCAACCTTTCCAGTCGTAGGTAACACAACTTGTGTCCAAACATGGCAGGTAAACTCCCCACACATCAAAAGATCACGTACAGATATAGGGGCACGGCAGACACTAACACGTGAACCCATGATATGGAACCAATTACCTAATAATATCAGAAATTCAAGAAGAAATGAAAGGAATATCTCTTAAATCACTAATGTCATCAGGTTTCAAAATATAAGAATAGAGAAGACATATGTGCTACCATTCATTCTATGTCTGTCTTATATTTACATGCACTGTAAAATCACTTTTTATGTAATAAGAATAACCATTGTAACTAATGGAATAAAGTATTTTGAATTCGACTTCTCTCTCTCTCTCTTCTCTTCTATTTCTCAATCCCCCCCCTGCCCCAGCCCCCTCTGTGCATAATAGCACAGTCCTTCAAGTATGTAGAACTAATGTTTGACTGATAGGCCTCTACATACAAAAACACCCAGTTTGGGTAGATGCCTTGTCATCTTATGCTGAGCTTTTTACGGAGCGTATACATTGCTCTGTAAATAAATTTTATCATATCATTATCGCTTAATATGGATGGCGGCTGGTCCGTTTTTTGTTACTATCTGCTAATGGTAATTGGAGGTACCATCTGGTAAGCTAGTCACTTCCCACTGGGATATCTATCTGATCAGAACAAATGTCTCTCCAAAAACCATTGTTAGTACTCTAACTTACTACCAAAATGTTTTATTTTATTTTTACCTGGAATGTTTCAGTTTAAATCCTGTTTCAAAATCGCCTATCACCTTTAAGCGAAAAACTTACCGCCTTTATATTATATAAAAAAATATTACGTTTATCGGATTATAAGAAAATGTCAATAACAAGATACAACCATTAAGCTGCTTATTAAATGAGACTGCCGTAAATCTTTCGTTCATACACCATGTAAATCTTTAGCGGGTGCCAAAGTGCAAATAAAACACTAGATGATATAAATATAAAACTATATTTCTTTAAATGCTTATCATCGTACTGATATATATAGATATATATGTATATTTTACAATTCCTCCCTTATCCCGCTCGCCGGGCCGAGGAATTGGCCTTCGCGGGTTTCTTGTAGCTTCCCATGAAGAGGACGGTGTGCGTGTCGTTGTCTCGGATCAGGAAGACGAAGGGGCGGTTGCAGTGGAACTCGATCGGCACCGGCCTCGCGCCCCCGGACCGGGTGGCGAAGATGAGGGCCGTCGCGGCAGCGGCTTCGGTGCCTTCTTCGTTAACCTCCACGAAGGCCTTGTGGATCACCTTTTCCAGGGTAACATTCCTCAGGGGACCAAAGGTGGTCAAGTCCACCTTTTCACTGTTAAAGATGTCTGTTATGCCCATGCTGTGAAGTGCCTGTGGAAGAGAGATTTGAAAGATTGTCAGGCTGTCAAAACACAAATCCTAGAGTTTGTCCATTCCTAACAATACGCCTTCGTAATGCGAAATCCCATTGTTATCAAAATAATATATACTGAATCACCAGCATAGCGTCGAATTACTATTCTTAACATTCCTTGGGCATGAATCACAGTGGCATCCAAAAATACCCTTTCCGAAACATCAGTAACAAAACTGCAATAAATACTAACCGGCTTAAGTTCGTCTCTGATTTCGAATTCCATCTTGAATTTGGGGAGCTTCACGTCGACCGTTCGGAAGGAGAGGTTGCCCTTGTGCGTGGCCGCCCTCAGGTTGTTTCCGCTGAGCCGGGCGACCATCTTGGCGAATCCGCGAGGCCCTTCCTCAGAGGGAAGGAAAACAAACATGGACATGGCGTCTCCGGTGTAAGGAAGCTCCAAGACCTTAGCAGCGATCTCGGAGAATTCATCTGTCGAGAGGAAAGCGCGGGGATGATGAGACAGTGACAGGTGACGCACGGCTCAATAGCGTGTTTTACATCTCTTGTGTATACCTTCTTTTCTTTATTAACGTATTTGTTGCGTAAAGTGTATTTATTCATACGCAAACTTACTGTATCTGAAAGAAGTGGTCTGATGCATCATAGGGACGAGGTCGCTGTTCTGAGGCGTAACAAAGAATGGCTCTGGGAAGGTGTCAGTAGGCTTGAACTGGAACTGCCACGTGCCCTTGAAGAAGGCGGCGTTCACGAGCACCATGATAGCGTCACTTAAATCGGCGGCGGAGACAATCTTGTTAATCCTGCCTTTGGTTGCCACGGAGACGAAATCGTTGATTTCCTGGGTAACGAGGCCAACCTGGTAACGACAGAGAGTGAACTGTTAATGACTTTGTTCATTTGTTCTCCTCTACGGGATACTTTGGATAGAAGAGGGAAGGT